CTCCCCCTTCTCCCAACCCCCGTGCTCTCCAGGAAGAAAGTGCGCAGGAGCTGTTTTATTCACATCCCCGAGTGGTCCGGAGGTATTTGTCGCTGTAGAGTGAATATTTCAGATTGAGGCTCTGCTGGCCGCCCCGCCCCGCCAGGGGAGGTGCAGAGGGGAGGGGGCTGCGGAACCTCAAGGCGTTGAGGCTGCCTCGCGTTGTGTGTAGGCCGAGCAGCAGAGTAGGCCGCGCTACATCCTGACCGAGTTCTGGAGAGAAGAAGAACCACGCGACAGCGCTGCTTGCTCTGTTTCGTCTCCTGAACTTCGACCCGGCTAACGCCTACGTACTCCGAAAAATGTTTTCTTTGGTGCAAGGATATTTCACATTGAAACATCGTTTTTATTCATCATTTGATAAACGGGTTCTTTAGAATAAAATATCTTTGTTTCATGTAAATTGACCAAAGCAAAGCAGTTTTTATTGAAAATTTCCTTTGACATGATGGACTTTTTAATGGGATTTCCCAGACTCAAAGAGCTGTACCAGGAACTCGTGGCTGGACCACCGTAGTTGAGCGATAGTGTGGTGAAAATCTCTGGAGTGTAAATGTTTATAAAAACACGTTTTCAGTCGCTCCACTTAAAACAAATGCCTACCGCGCGTACCCCAGTTTTAAAGCCCAAAGCCAAGCCTTTCCTGGAACAGTCCCTATTTTGAATGAATCGGTGTGACTGCGCGTGTCGCGTGTCGGACAACGGAGAAAGACACACAAGGAGAGACGGAGAGAGACAGAGAGAAAGACAGAGAGAGACGGGTGCGCCAGCCTGCTCAGTAAGGGGCCGGCCCGGCCCCACCGCGCTGGATATTTTAATATTCCCCCTTTGATAACGCTGACCCATGCAACAACCTGGTGAGCCGGTCTCCCTCTCGGACGGCCCGGGCCGGGGGCGGGCTGGGCACAGCGCCCTGCAGGGACCCGCCGCCGCCGGCCGCGCCTTGCACGCTGTGGCCGCCACGGCTGGGGCACAAGGCACAACTACCCCGGCCGGGCGGGGCGATGGGGATTCCATGCACACGGCAGCGTTATCCTATTGATTCTCTCTCATGATACAATATAGCTTGCCATAAATTACGGAGGCGCAGCCTTCTGTTGCCATCTAAATTTCGCATACGCAGCCCCCAAGCATTCCGCTCCGCAGCGGGCCTGGGTGGTTGGGGGTTGGGGGAGGAAGGGAGAGCGCCCCGCTTCTTTCCGACCCTTCCCCGCGACCTCCCCTTCTCCCT